TTCAGATAAATGATAAATTCTGTTCTGGTGCCAAGTTTCTGCTTCGTGTTTTTATGTCATTGTCGCCTTTTGATTAACTTATTTTTATTTATTTGTATTATTGTTGAACCTTCCGATTTTTACTGTGACAGAAAACAAACTGTTGGACGGAGGTTAGTTTTCCGTCGGTTATTTCTCACTAAAACAAAAACACTGAATAAACATGTTATTAAGACGCCAACACTTCTGGTCTGACATCACTGTTGAAAACACATCAATGTTCATTTGAAAGGTGAAAGTATGTATTCGTGATGCTGGTCCCAGTGTTAAACAAAGAGAAGTCATTAGACAACTTGAGGAGGATTTGAATTGTGTTTTTAAATATATTGAATGATGTGAGTGTGACTCCTGGAGCAGCAGCAGCAGCAGCAGGAGGACGTGAAGCTGACGGAACAGCCTCTGTTCTAAAGATCCTTTAAAACATGAGCTCAGAGTCACAGTCTGCAGACGATGATGAACACTGAGAGTTTTACAATAATGAAATATTATTATTAATATTTCCAGAACATTCTCTTGTTGGTTTTCACCATAAAAGGCTTCGGGCGCTTTAACTCTTTCAGTTCATTGACTCCATTGGTGGAACCATGTGTCGGTCAAATCGATGCTGTGATCTGATTGGTCAGTGTGCGCTGCTACTCCCGCCCCTGAGGTCTGAGGCGTCCTTCCGCTCGTGCCCGTCAGCAGCTCCAGGCGCGTGTGTCGGTAGTGTCTGTAGTGTCGGTGAAGATGTTCGGGCAGCAGGTCTTAGTTCTCAGTAAGTCTCTCTCTCTCTCTCACCGTCTCTCACTCTCTCCGGTAAACGGAGCCGGTACCGAGCGAGCGGCCGGTGCCGGCTCCGCTTTGTGGCTGTTTACCGCCGCAGCGGCCCGGTGTGGCACGTGCTTCCTCCGGTCTGCTAACCGTGCTAGCTGCTAGCATCTTTAGAGCATGTCGCTAAGCTAACGATGCTCACGAGCCACCGTTACTCAGCACGAACAGACGGTTAGCTAGTTAGCTCGTTAGCTAGTTAGCTGATCCCGCAGTTTAACGTGTGCTCGGTTAACGGCGCTAACCGGAATCCGGAGCTGCCGATAGAAAGCCTCCGCAGGCTGTTAGCAGCTAACGGTGCTACAGCGATGACTGGGATGCTTTGTTGAAGCAGCCCCACCCTCATCGATCCGGATCAATACAAACCAGATTCACACTTGATCTGGTTTCAGTGTCAACTCATTTCTATGTAACGTGACGTCAGCTGCTTTTATATATTTTCATTAACATTAATTACGCATTAATATTAATCCGTGATTATCTCACACCAGAGAAAACAATCATTTCAAAATAAAAGCCCCCTGAGGAAAACGTGAGACGTCAGAAAGTGTCCTGATGTGTTTTCTGTTTCCTGTGCAGACCAGAACGTGAAGAGAGAGTCTGGACGTAAAGTTCAGACCGGAAACATCAGCGCAGCGAAGGTAAACACACGAACAATCTGACGTCATGTCACCACGTGATTAAAAGGTATTAATGTCAAACTGTGTTTCAGACCATTGCAGATGTGATCCGGACCTGCCTCGGCCCTCGGGCCATGATGAAGGTGTGACATCATCACCTCACAGCACCAGAACACTTAGTAGATCCAGTGGTAGATTACATTACTGAGTATTAACCAGTCTGAAATGAGAGAATGTTTGTTTCCTCACTAGAGATTCATTCATTCATCACTTTGATCACTTCTGATTCATCGTAGGGAAATATTTATATTCACGAGCAGACGAAGTAGATTCATTGTGTGTGTGTGTGTGTGTGTGTGTGT